ATCTTGATATTCTGGCATAATTTGGATGGATCTTGACTGGTTTATGAATTTTTTAATTTTAGTCAAAATTAAGCAAAAATGAGTTATTTCACTTAATATGGGTTTTCACTAGGTTTTTTGGAACTTATTCGAAAAACAAATGTTGCCAAGAGATTCAGCGTGGTCGTTTACCTATGTTTCAGTTCGTTATCGGAATTACTACTCCTAAAGAAACATTGATCCTGGGACTTTCAGGAAATCCAATGCCACGTCTGAACCGGCAAAAATTAAACGTTTGCTTAGTTCTCAGTTTGGAGAGAACACTTTGGACTATCTATCTGTAAAATGAAATTGATAAATTTCTATGTCAGTTTCTAGAGATCTGAGCTGATTTTCCAAAGATCTTCTGAAAAACTGATCTTCCAAATAATTTCGGAAAGCAGTTTTGTTTGTGAAAACATAGCTTTATGTGTTCTCTTTTAACTTCTGAAAACCGCAAGTTTCTATCATTTGTCATCTTTGAGTTATTCGAAAAACAACCGAGTGCCTTGTATTTTGGCGCCGATAGTAGTATAGGCACTTGTCTCTATGATATTCGAAATCCGCATCGATCGATAAGTTAAAGGATTAACATATATGTTTCAATCAAGACGGAGAACACCGGTGATCCTTTCTCTCGTTAGGCAGGAAAACATGAGCAGTGCTGTTTTCGATGCCTTACATTTGGTTGTGCAGATATTGTAGCTGTTGTTTTATCATATTTTTCATTTGGACAAAAATGAGTAATATTTTTAACTTGTCTTTTATGCAATTTGTTGTCGTGTACACTATCTTTAACTAAATATTTTTCCAATGCATGAATTGATACATTATCTAATTTTGATAAATCATTCAATCGATTTTTCATTTTTCTTATGTTTGGTATTGATCGTGCTGTCAATGTTGATGATATTGTTGGTGATGATGACAATTTATTCAACATTAGGTAAAAATTAGCATTATCAATTACACGAAGAATTGATTGTTGTTTAGTATTACAACTATTAGTCGATAATGAATCAATATTATGAAAGAATGATGATGCTTGCGAACTATTGTCTATTGGTGTGCCATCTTCATACATGAATTTAATGTTTTCTTTAAACGTTTTTTGCATTAGAACTATTTATGAGAAAACAAACGATATTGATCGATTAATAAGTCTTATTCATTCATTTACAAATATTCATCCACTTATCAAATTTAGTATAAGAGCGACAACTTTTATTGCAAAGAAATTTGTATGGGCTCGATGCATTGTTTGGCATCTTTATGTCTAACAAGAAAAAACATATAGAAACGAAAACGTGAGATTCAAGCAGTTCTACTATACAGCTTAAGAATCTCCAGAACTCGTATATCATCAAGATCTATCAGTTGAAATAGGGACTCCACGACTCGTGGTCTAGCGAGAAACAATTTATTCAATTTATTCAGAAACAGAGTTAATCTGGCAAAACGGCCTCCGCAAGAGATCTGGTCCTTGTCCGATAAAAGAACCGTCCGAAACTAGTAATACTGCTGCGATGTGAAGAGGACAGAGATAGTTTAGGAACCTTCAGCAGAACCGGTCGGAGTTCATTGAAGCTGGCTGGTCTCTAGTAGTAGTTGGCAGCGCTCAGTTGTTATGTCACACTACACTGACTATAAATCTATTGAATCACACCCAGCAGATATGTCAATAGTTTTTGCATAGACAATTCTACATTATATAACACAGGACAACTCTATAACCGAAAACTCAGCCAAAACTGATTTCGGAGCAGTTCTCACTAGATAACAGGCGTGGATATATCGTGCGGCCGAAGTCGCAGTCACAAGAGTCGGAAATTTGTTTAAGTGTGGCAGACACAATACGATAGAAATATGAATTTACAATACGATATGAATTTCTAAGGTTTTTAGTTAATTTCTAGGAGAACCTGTAGAAAAGCTGCTGCACCACCGCAGAATAGCTTTTCTTTGTATGTCGCATTGAACGAGGCTACAATGTTCATTCCTGGAAGAAAATGATGAAAAATCTATACAAGAAATGATCCAGAACAGTCTTCATGAAGGTCATTTACAAGAAAAAACTTTATCTATTTCATTTTTTTTCACCGATAAACTCCACTGAAAAAATGAAACAATATTTGTAATTTCAACCCACACAGGCTACCAGCCGTTTTTGCAAACTTAATAGTTTGAATGGTTTTTATCGAATCGACTTAGCCGTGAGTTAGATCGTATGGAACGTGGGACAGACTGTAGTAGTACACTACATTAGATTCTAACATAGCCCTGTCACTTTAAGTTTATAGAGTCTAGCAGTCTCAAAGAATCAACGTGTATTTTTAACATTCTTTTACGTACTTTCTTTAAACTTCGAATACTGTAGATATTTAAAAGATTCATAAATCATTTCAATAAATCAATTCTAAATAGAACAATTATTAATTGTAATAGAATAGTGACGATTTTAGTCAGAAACAATATTTGTTTGTATTCGTTTTTACTATAATAATAGATATCCAAAAAAAAGCAACAACAATATGAATAAAGTGTATGTTGCACGTTGCGATGATGTATCTACGAATATCTTTTCTTTTCTTCTGCCATGACATATTAAATTACATAGTGCTGGAAACTCGAAATCTAGGCGACATATATTTTTGAAGTGTAAATATAATTACATCAACAAAAGAAATTTCAAAATCATGTTTAAACCTTGAAAGAATTAAATTTTCTAAAATCTGAGGATCGACAACGGGAAAAAAATTTGGCCCACGTAGGGGTTTTGACATAAAGGACCTCGAAGATCCGAGTTTTCTAGACAACATTTTAAAGTTAAAGTTTATCCAAAAACTGTTCGAACCACATGGTTGGATAGAGCATTCAATTCTGAACAAAATGAAATGTTTTGCGAATTTTTACGACGTGGGATAACTCTACCAGAGGCTTCACAAAATGTACATGTGTGAAATTCCTGTTTTCAGTTTCTAATCTAGCATATTCGGGCACTTTTCGCATTCTCAATGCCAGTCTTGAGCGGTCAATCTTGAATGAGTCAAAATAGCTGAGAAAAGGCAAAATTCCACCACTTCTGCTGGTTATTGGCAAAAATTCGAATTACCTTTTTTCCGAAAGAGTTACAGACGTGTGGCTTTCATCAACAGATTCAGCACAGCACGCTCTACAAAACCCATGCTATCTCGCGGCTGGCGCTAATGGTCCATGTGATAGTGATATACTTCACGTGGATTCACCCTTAAGTTTACAAAAACGGCTGGTAGCCTGTGTGAGCTGAAAACAGATATTGTTTCATTCAATTCTATAACTTTGCAAAGAAAGGTCGTTAGAGCTGGGAGACGTCTCATTCACCTCAAGATCAAACGATAAAATTTGTTTTCTCCATTTCTTGCTTCATATCTCTCTCTATAGTGTACATAGACAGAAAAACACATCAGAGGAAAGAAAATGACACAAAAGAGAAGGTTAGAATTAGGGGTGGCGCATTTCGTTACTTTACCGAGTAAAGCAACGCTTTTGGATACCATCGTAGAAATGGCGAGTAACTGAAAAGTTATTGTGTTATCGCCTTCCGAACATTAGACATATAATGCGTTACTATGTTACGCGTTACTAGCAACGAGTAACGCAAACGTTATTGCGTTACAAGTAACGTGTAACGCAAGTGTTACTGCGTTACTAGAAAAGTAACGCAAAAAAGCGTTAAAGTAACGCAAGTAACGCGGCGTTAAAGTAACGCAAGTAACGCTGCGTTACTCGTTACAAAAGCTATGAAAAATAAACGCATCTCGTTAGTAGTTACTATTAACCCAGTAACGCTTTCGTTGATCGTTACTGGTAACGAGTAACGCATGCGTTACTGCGTTACCTGTAAAGAAACGGTAAAGCGCCACCCCTACTTAGAATAGCGGAATCTTTGATGTCTATGGTTGAATATAGTGTAATATACCGTGAAAACCCACAGTGGAGAATCCGGGTCCAAAAAACGCGGGTACCGCGACGAGGTCTTTGCGTCGTACAACGTATTTCGTTGCGCTGATTCCGAATATCTAAGTTTCAAAAATTCCGTTTCTCTAGAAAAAAAACATCAAATTTTGATATGAGTAGTCCACTTGATCCAAATCATATAAATTTCATATTGCTAGAAGATGTATATGGACCAGATGATAATATATGGAGAAAAAGCTATTTTGGTGATAGAAACGTATCATTCATTTAATACGTCATCTTTAGATGATCGATCATCATTTTCTGCAATTTATTCGATCGTAGACGGCATAAACAGTTAATCGTTTGCTTTTTTGTTATATTAAATATTTATCGAAGATTTTGTAGTAAACAAAATATCTAGGATTAAAAGTTAATTTGAATTACAGAGAATGTCAACAGAATTCCAAATCGTTCTGATTGAAAACTCGTTCAACCTGCTAAAACTTCGTCGAATTTGGATGAACTATTCATAGTTTTTAACGTCATCTAGCATCAAGGGTAGTAAGCTTTAAACTCGCTGAGACTTCAAAAGCTTTCGCTTACATATCCACACTATTGAGAATGTTTATGTTTAACCAGCAGTAGTAGTGAGCATGAATTCAACATGAAGTCTTCTGAAACAAACCTGTTCACGTCATATCCTTGCTTTTCAAGTAACTTTTTCTTTCGAAAACAACTCTCATCACCATCAAGCTCAACATGGACAGTACTGTAAAGAGAAATTCATTTGCCAGCGGGTGATGATGACGCATTTCAACTTGCTCCACTTCCACTTGATCCCGGCGGATTTATCGTGGCTCTTAATACTGGAAAACAGGAAGAAATTTTAACGTTTTTCGAGAAATACGTAGTAGTCGTTATATCGAATGTATTGATGAATCAACAATACGAGCGTAGCATAGATGAAATATGGACTTTCTTCGAAGAACTGTTCAACCCAAATACTAAATAAGACAAGCCAGAGAGTTGAACTTGAAGATTGAACAATGCTGATACATTTTACCACTTAGTTTGGCAGTTTGGAGGTTTTCAGTATTTTAAAGTTAAGAGTTCCGACAATATTATATCTTCATTGATATTGTCGGAACTTTTAACTCTGAACTTTAAAACTTATTCATCAAATATATCTGATGTATTGATGAACACGTTTTGTAATTATTAAATGGTAAATGACATTATATGTTTTGACACGCATAAAAATGAATATCGGGCAAAATTAACATCACAACATTTAATTTTCGTCAACAAAAATCAGAATAAGCGCGTAACAGCATTAATATTCCCATTAATATACAACACCACCTAGTGTTATCTTGTCATTTTCCTTAAAAGTTTTCAGATGCTTTTGCTTATCTTCGTGACAACAACAGAATCAAAGTATGTATCAAAAGTGTCATTTGGCTATTCGAGTTACACATCCCATGGATCGTTCATATGTATGGAACTGTCTTAAGGTTTCCAATATTAGAGTAAGTGTTACTTGGTTGAATTTTACAAAGATTACACAAAGAAGTGAACTCTGTTAGACTTTTATGAGAGTACAGATGCAAACGAGAACCATCGCAAATGCCTGTGAGTGTTTTGACGTTTTAAGGGCCCTCCGTTAAAGTTACAGGCATTTTCCTAGAAGTCCTAAAATCGAGTATTTCATACAGCGTTTAATATAGCGTTTTCTCTATATAAGAGTTACACTTGAAGTGCGTCCCAAGATTTTTAATAGCGGTTTGTCGTAGACAGTTCGTTCTTTTTCTGTTTAAAAGAGGAAAAGAAACTACACGGCCTGACCGGCACCGATTTTTGAATTAAGTCTTAGTTTTTGTCCAACTGAGGATGTATAGAAAATCCGGAAGGATTTTTCGGGTTTTGGAGGTTGTTGGTTGCCTGGAAAACCAATAAAGGCTTAATTGAAAAATCCGCGCTGGTCCGTCCATGTAGTTAGGCGTCTAGTTTAAAATAAAACAAACCCGAACCCTCCAGCTTGAATATATTCAAAAATCTTGGGACGCACTTCAGGATCCTTTTTGAACCTTGATCTCTGGAAAACTCCTAATCCGTAAGACTTGAAGACAAAAAAAGTTTTTCTTT